CCTGTTTCAGATTCTGTGTCTCCCTCTCTCTGACCCTCCCCCGTTCATGCTCTGTCTCTGTCTCAAAAATAAATAAACGTTAAAAAGAAAATAAAAAGAAAATAAAATAATAATAATAAAAAAAAGAAAAAAGAAAAGAAAGAAAGAAAAGAAAAGAAAGATCATAGTCAAACAGAGGCACTCAGGCAGAAAAGGAAGAAGGAGTAGTGTGCTTCCTGCCTGTTTCTTTGACAATGAAGTGCACTCCCAAGAGCAGGAAAATCATCTGTGGAACTCACCACTGAGGCAGAGAGGCTGGCACAGAGGCTGGCCTGAGCACCGCTGAGTGCCAGCCTGCATCTGCTGAAGGAGCACAGGAAGCTCACACAATCAGCCCACACCTGGGTGCACCCTAATCCTGAGTACTCACTAGAAGTGCTCAAAGCAGGGCAGCCCCAATAGAGAAGGACCCCTGAGTACAGAGAACAGAAGAAGAGCTGTTCACCAGGGAAAAAGAAGCCTCTGAGGGCACATCATGGCTGTCTTCAGATGCCCCAAGGACAGGCAGGTGGCCAAGGGGCTGTTTAAAGCCTAAAGGGATATATTCAACCACAAGTGATTCTCTCTGGGAGGAGTGGGAGTTTGAATGGGTGAGCTTGGCCCCTTTACATTTTAACATACACATAGATAATAACACAGGGTACATTCTTACACAGCCAAGAGATACTCTACGCAACACTGCCCACATTTATTTGAGTTCAGCTTCTCCCCTCATTTTTTAAAAATTCCCTTCACATCTTTCAAGATCCTATTGAGAAATGCTTTTAATAATTAGCATGATCCAAAGATGGAATAAGTGGCATTGTGAGGCATGTCATTCTGGTTTCCCCACTTCCTACCACTTAACCTGAGTCTTACTTTCCTTGAAGATAAGGTAGAGGTGATTTTACCACATGTCTGACACTGTACAGGGCTGTCATATGAATCAAATTCAGCAAATTATGTGGAAATGCTTTTGACCCACAAAGCTCCATAAAAAGTACTACTCATATTATTGTATTTTTAAAAATATTATTTGCATACTTAATGACCTTCAAACAAAAAAAGAGAAGGACCTACCATTATTACTTTCACCTGAAAACCAGCGCTTTCCTAGGATAATTTATTAAAATTCTGATAGCAGGCACATGGGGTCTGTATATTATTTTCTGCACTTTTTTCCATATTTGAAATATTTTAAAATTAAATTTTAAGAAGTCTGAACAAAACTAGAAACTAAATGCCTTATAAAAGCTTGACTCTCTAGATGCACAACAGCAGAACACTAGTATTAGCATCTTTAATGTCACAAGGGCTCACAGTGAACCTGCCCGCCAAGTTACTAGGTCAATATTCTGGTCAGAAAGGTGAAGCCCACCTTCAAAGTAGTGAAAAGCAGATCCTCCAGGGGAGCTGGGAGGGGGCATCCCACGTTCAGGGCTGACCTGAAACACAAAACCACCTGACATATCAGAAAACGCCAAACCTCAGGCAGTTTTGCCTCAGACAAGGTCTCTGCCAGCCCAACATTTGTACCTCAAGTCCTAGTTCACACCTCACCTCCTCCCCAAAGCCCACCTTAGCTACAGCGTTCTCTACTATATATCATATGCCTAAATTCTTTGTGCCTAGCCATATATTTTATACATCATTACTGAGATGAATTATTCTCAGCATTTGGTGTCTTTATCTTGTGACCATGAGTCAATTATATACTTCTTAAGGGCACCAACTGTCCCCCACTCAGAATAGAGCTTGGCACCCAACTGCTAGGAAACATACTTCATGACTAGGAAATTAAATCACTTCTAAATCTTCAATAGACAAAAGAAGCCTTTATTTTACAGAGATTTCCAGTGAGAACCTTTTCTGTTTTGTGAGTTTCCTTGAATAGCACGCGAGTGGGGTTTTTTTCCGAGTACTTCACAAGACCTGACCTCTTTGCCTGCCTCCCAGGAGCACAGCCCCACCTGAGAGATGCTGGACACGCTGCTGGTCTTCCTCTTCAGGGTGCCCTCCTGACACACTGTCAGCAGATTGCTGGGGAGGATGGAACGGAAGTCATTGAAAGATCGCCTCCGCACGCCTTCAAGCTCCTCAGGGACTCGGAGGGAATGAGGAGGGACTTTGGGGAACAGTTTTGACAGGAGAGACTCTTCCGTGTTGCTGTAACGCCCAAATGCTCGTGAGATTCCTATCAGGCATGGGATCGCGTATTTGCAAAGGTATTCTAAAAGACAAAGAGAGAATGTTCCAATACCAGAAAGTTCCCTGGGAGAGAGCTGTGCTGCACCAGCTTGTAACACTGGCTGACATCTCACAACCTCCCCCTACCCCCAAGTAGGGGGTCAGAACAAGTCATAGCAACAGGTTAGCCTTAAGGGCTGACATTAACAACTTCAGACTACATCTCCATCACACACAGCTGCTCTTTTTGGGAGGTCTTAATCTGTTCATGGTACACTCAAATCAATAACACAGGTAAGTCTTGTTATCAGGTACCTTTACTATACTTAAACCATATATTTCTTCCTCCTGGGATTATATAGGTAACCTCATACTAGAGGCAGTCAGGCATGTTATAGGTGAGGAAACTGAGGCCCAGAAAGGGTGAGGTGACTTGTCTAAAGTCACCTGGCATTCAGGTAGCAGAGCTGTGCTCATGACGACCATGTGACCTCTTTAACACACAACAAAGGCAAACTAATATAGGAAGGTTTCATCCATCAAGTACATAAATAGTAAAGAACAAAAAAAGAAGACTGGGAAAAGCAAGGGAAAAAAATAATCACAAACCATTAAGGAAAAAAAAAAAGCCTTGGATCTATAATCATACCTTTTTCTTGAATCTCCAAGGCCTGGCACATTCCCAAAAGAACATGCAAAACCTGCAAAAGTGCCTCTAAAATCTGTAACAGCCAAGGAAACAGAAAAGACAAACGTATAAATAAAATCGGATAAGTACCACAAAATTCATTCAGAATTGGAAGGATCTTTAGACAATATCTTGTCCAACCCCATATGTGATACATAAAACCCCGCATGACAGCTCTGCCAAGTGGCCAATCAGTTGACCTTCTAGAGACAGAAACTTGCCCTCCTGGGTTGGCAAAGAGCGCCTCCTAACTCTGGGCCAATGTTGTCCTCTGGGGCTTGTGACCACTGGCCTTGGAGCTACACCTTCCATATTTGAGAAACAGGTGATAGGACCCCAAATCTCTTTTCATGGTTAAATATCTCTAGTTCTTTTAATCCATTTCTTATGATTACAAGTCCTTCATGATCCTGAGTGCCAGCTTCTGATTTCACAGTAGTCCCATGTGTCAGAAACAGTCTCTAATTGTGGTGCTCAGGAAGATACATTAATATTCCAGGGATGCTGGGACTCCCCCTGAGTAATCATCAAACTCAACACAGATTCTAGCCTTCCACATACATGACATCAGCTGTTCGGCAGCCACTTCACAATGCTGGCTCAAAGAGCTCACTGATATGTAAAATACTTAAATCTTTTTTACACATGCTGCCAACTCTACTGATGTTGGTATTTTTCGCCTGTCACTGATGTCTACAAAAACTCAGGGGATTAGCTTTAGCTCATTATACTGGTCTCTGATTCCCAGCTTTGTATCATCTACAAATGAAACCAACTTCCTTTCTGAATTTTCATTTATGGCCCTGGCTCCTTTTGCTTCAGTGTATAGGGCAGACCTAGGGAAGACTCCTGCTGGGCCAGCACCCTGTCACCCTCTGGGATGGCCCTTTAGGCAGCTTTGCAAACTTTCCAAATTGTTTTGACCCTCAGCCCATATTCCAGATTCAGGATGTCAGGAGGAGTGTTTGTCTAAAGCCTGGATGAAGATCAACTAGACTGTATCTACCTTATTTCCCTCTACTACCAGTCTTGGAAATCCCAGACAAAGAAGAGAATAAAATTGGTCTCATACAACGTGTTCCTAATCAAGGCAAATTTCTGACATTTTGCTAATGTTAAATGATGCTGAGTAACATACAAAGACTTGAAAAGCAATGCTTTCTCCACTTTGTGTACTGAAGTTATGCCATCATCTTTAGCATTGACATTTTGATAAATGTTATTTACAGAAAAGCCCTTAATTTCTAGCCTAACTTTTGAAATAATGATACATGATTCTAGTAGATCTAGTTATCTCTTTAGCCAACTTACAAATAAAGAACGTAAACTAAGAAAAAAGAATGGAGAAGAATGTTAATGACAGAAATACTGACAATAGAATTTACACTTTGATATGAAGAGATTTTAGAAATTAAAAAAGATACAAGGACTCAAAAAGCATAGCTAGCTGGGAATATTTAACATATAGACAAGCAACCAGGCACTCCTTGGCAGGTCCTGAGGATAGCAGCATATACATACTGATTTTTAAAACAAAAAGTCTGATTAAGAAAAAGTTTAGATTATGATCGTATTCTTTGTTTAAAAAGGAGGGGATGGGGCGCCTGGGTGGCGCAGTCGGTTAAGCGTCCGGCTTCAGCCAGGTCACGATCTCGCGGTCCGTGAGTTCGAGCCCCGCGTCAGGCTCTGGGCTGATGGCTCGGAGCCTGGAGCCTGTTTCCGATTCTGTGTCTCCCTCTCTCTCTGCTCCTCCCCCGTTCATGCTCTGTCTCTCTCTGTCCCAAAAATAAATAAACGTTGAAAAAAAAAAATTAAAAAAAAAATAAATAAATAAAAAGGAGGGGAGTATGAAACGCATTTAAGTAACATTTCAACAAAATAAATTCAAACCAAAAAAAATTAGGGCACTTAAAATCTGGGTATAATTTCAACAATCTAGATCATTTCCTTCCATGAATGACTTCAATCTCCAACAGGGATTGTGAGCCATCAGGAAAGTCAGCTGCCTTGGCCTTGTGCTGCCTACCTCACAGAATTATGGGGAGGGCTGGATGAAAGAAGACTCAAGTGGTCACTGGGTATTGTTAGTATATATTTAACATTTCTTAGGTGTGTTAGTACAAAATAAATCAACAGAAACAACCAAATCACTTCAAAATTTTACTTACTCTTTTCTGTTACTTTGGGACTCTCTTTGATCATACAGAAATGCACTCCAACTCACCACACACTTACCTCATCCCGAAGTGAGGGGTCCCTATAAGCCACATCAGACAGCAAAGTGACCAAGCAGAAGCTGAAACTCTCTGCAACCGGGAGGGTGGCTGGAAGGCACACAGACATGAGTCAGATCATTACCACTGAGACACTGGGCTACACGTACTGGCCACCTGATTCAGTAAGTTCCCTTTCTCACAGGATCTGCCAAGGGACCAGTTTATAGGGGTGGCTGCCCTCAGTGAGGTGAACCTGAAAAGAACAGATATGGGCCCAACTTGTTTGCTGAGAAATACCCCTAATTTCTTTTAATAGAATGCTTTGGTTCAACAAACTTAAATGTTTCTGAGCCAGTTTATAGTTTGAGATTATACAGCTCTCTCAACATAACAGACTCCATTTTTTAATTCCTGACCTAAATTTCTACCTAGGGTGAGAAACCAATCTTGATAAAGTGTAAGAAATGGTATATGAGGCTACCTGTCAAATACCAATTACCACTACTTTAAACTGAATTGTTTATATTTCTTTTCTGCTTTATTTTGACAAATGGAGAAAATCCTAATAAGAGCTTCCAAAGATTTGCTCTATTCCTAATAGGTTTTTAAGCCCATCTACTACCGAGCCCCCTCATTGGGAGGTTCTCAGGAGCATGGACTCAAGGTTGGGAAGGGATCACTGTACCTAAAAGACCAAAGCTAACCAGTACTTCTATGGTGTGCACCTTAAAAATGTCAGAATCACTGCTGTGTAGAGCCAATTGCTATTAAATATTTAATCAATTTTGAGCGTTGAATTAAATCAAGGACAGAGAGCTGCCCACTGATTTATGGATCTATTCATAGTACATGGCAGAAGACTGTTATGTGTTCACTTCCGTACTTATAATTTTAAGATGCAGATCTAGGTCCTTCTCAAACTAGAGTGTGATCAGGATCACCTGGAGGCTTCCTTGTCCCAGACTTCTAATTCAGCAGCTCTGATGCAAGGACTGAGAATCTGCATTTCTGACAAGTTCTGACACTGAGGCTGCTGATCCAGGAATGCCACTTTGAGAACTACTGCTCTAGAGTTTAAAGGTCTAAATCATACTGCCTTCGTAAAAAATAAAAGAGTGAAATGTTACCCAATAATTGGAGATTTATATATCCCTAACAATGCTTCAAATAATGCTAACACTTACATTCTAATAGGAGTCCATGTACATAGAAGCGGTGTTTGGAAAGGAAAGAAAATAGAATCAACTTCTACTGGTATTCTACTTCTCCCCAAGTTAGATCTAACAATGGTTGACAGAGAGATGTTTGACTTTTTAGCAATGCTTTCTATCTAATCTGTAGACCTTTAGGGTGGGAGGATGAACGAAATAGGGGAAGGGGATTAAAAGGTACAAACTTTCAGTTCTAAAACAAATAAGACATAGGGATACAATGTACCACATAGGGAATACTGTCAATAATAAGTATCAACTTGGTATGGTGAAGAATGGTAGCTAGATTTATCACTGTGATCACTTTGTAATGTATATACACCTCAAATCACTGTTGTATGCCTGGAACTAATATAATATTGTATGTCAACTACATTTCAATTAAAAAAATTGTAGTCCTTTAAATTTGAGGATACATGCATAATCTGGGGTCTGTCAGTTTTAGGCATAGTATGTTACCAGAAATGATGAAACCCAAAGAACAAGAGGACTAGGCTGAGGCAGGATGTTCATGAGATCAGCAAAAGCCACCCTTAGCAGGCTAAGCCCACCCAACAAATTAGGGCCGTGCCACCAACCAAAAGAACAAGGGCTTTCTTTATAGACACCAACCCCTTGCTTTGTCTGAAGGTGGGCCGTGGGTCTCACAGAGGGAGACTGTAAGAAAACTTTGGTCTCCAGGGTCGTGATCTCTAAAATGTTGGTGGTGTTCCAAACTGATTTGGGAGTCTTGGGAAATCAATGTATGGGAATATCAGTGTTACAAGCGCTTAGCACAATGCTTGGCACATAGCAGGCTTATTACCATTCTTAAAGGTGCAAAATTTAAAACTCAGCCAACAGCAACAAAATGATAAACTATTTATTATTTATAGTGGACATGGTGTTCAAATCCTGGACATACATCTCACCCTTCCTTTTTGAGAAGCAGTGATGAAATCTGGAGAACTGGCCTCACTCCAGGAGTGAGCCTATTCATCGAAGGGTAAGAAAGACAGGTTCAGGGATGGGCAGGGGACCCAATTCTGGCAATGAGACATGAGAAAAGGTTCCCGCAGGTCTCCAAGTTCCTGTTCACTCCCAGAGTACAATACAAAGTCAGTTTTCTCAGCCTTGCCTTTGCCCCACCTTCACCATGGACTCTGGACAACAGTGAGTAAGCATAGCCCATGTTGCTGCAGGCAGGCAGCTGTCCCACAGCCAGGAGTGGAACCAGCTAAAAACACTGTACTTGATGCATTAACATGATTAAACACTTGATCTTTACAGACTGTGAGCATACATGTTCTTCCCTGAATTCAGGGAAAACGTTATACAAAATTACCTCTGCCTTTCCGAGCTGTGCTTTCTTCTACCCAATACACTTTCGGAAGACCTTTAAGCAGTCGGAGAAGGTAAGGAACCACGGAATCTTTATGCTTAAAAAAAAAAACAAACACATTTAATACAAATGTGTGGCTGGTAGCTTTTTAGTACTAAGCCTAAAGCAAAGCATACACATCCAAATCATCTCAAATATGGATGGTCCCATGGCATTGCACCCTTCCTATTTCCATGTGGTGGCAGCAGGGGGCGTCCGAGGTCATCCCATAAGCCTGCACTAGGTGCCTAAGGGAAGGGCTACAACCTGCTCTTCTGCTCTGAATGTCCAGCCTGGTTCTGGCCTCCTCTGGACATTGGGCCCCTACGAGGGCCTCTCCAGAAGGTATGTGTGAGCACACAATCTCAAAACTGCCTCAGTAAGAGTATTCAGAAAGCCCTCAAGCCTTTCAGTGGGCCCCTGGATCAGATCCTCTGGACTGAGGGAAGCTCACAGCCAGAAGCTTTTAAACTTGGTGATACTTCTGTTATTCATGGCCTTTGTCCCCTTTTCTTTTTTCTTTTTTTTCTTAATTTTCTGCTTCATGTTTCCTTTTGCTTCTCTCAATCTGAGCATTAGACTTAATAGCCATCGTTAGCCAATACAAAAACTACTTTCTTCTAGTTTCCAAACTAGCCAGTCAACATGTAACTTCACAATCTTCTATGACTGGCTCTTTTGGCTGTTTCCTACTTATAACTGCTCCAGTTAAGGATTAGGTAAGTGCTCCTGAGAAGAGGAATACCATTTGGTTCTGAAACACTGATAAACACATGTGGTGATATTGAAAACATGACTCCAAGGGGTTCCTGGGTGGCTCAATTAGTTAAGCATCTGACTTCAGCTTAGGTCATGATCTCACAATTCTTGGGTTCAAGCCCCACATCGAGCTTGCTGCTGTCAGCATGGCGCCTGCTTCGGATCCTCTTTTTCTCTCTCTCTCTACCCATTCTCTGCTCATGCTCTTTCTCTCTCAAAAAAAAAAAAAGAAAAAGAAAAAGAAAAAGAAAACATGACTCCAAATTCTGTGACACTCCAACTGAAAGGTGGAGTCAAATTCACTTCCTCTAGAAAATGGGCTGCCTTAGTGACTTGCTTCTGGTGTTTTTAGAAAGTACAGCTGATCCTCGAACAACAAGGGTTTGAAGTACACGGGTCCACTTATATATGGCTTTTTTACAGTATTGTAAATGTATTTTCTCTTCCTTACAGTTTTTCTTAATAACATTTTCTTTTCTCTAGTTTATTGTTTTCAGTAAGGCTTCTGGTCAATAGTAGGCTATTAATAGTTAAATTTTGGGAGAATCAAAATTATATGTGGATTTTCAATGGCACAGGGGGTCAGTGCCCCTAAACCCTACATTGTTCAAGGGTCAGCTGTGGTATAAATGAGACTGACTTCCTAAGTTAGGTTAAAAAAGCAGTGCAGCATCCATCTGCCTTTCTCTCAGGACACATGCCCTTGGGACCCAGACACTATGTTGTGACAGACAGACAGGGGCGCCTGGGTGGCTCAGTCGGTTGAGCATCTGACTTTGGCTCAGGTCATGATCTTGCAGTTTGTGGGTTCGAGCCCCACATCGGGCTCTGTGCTACCAGCTCAGAGCCTGCAGCCTACTTCAGATTCTGTGTCTCCCTCTCTTGCTGCCCTTCCCCTACTCGCACTCTGTCTCTCTCTCAAAAATAAATAAATGTTAAACATTTTAAAAAAAATTTTTTAAAAAGGGGCGCCTGGTGGCTCAGTTGGTTGAGCACCCAACTTGAGCTCAGGTAGTGATCTGGGTTCACGGGTTCAAGTCCTACGTCAGGCTCTGTGCTGACAGAGCCTGGAGCTTGGTTTGGATTCTGTGTCTCCCTCTTTCTCTGCCCCTCTGCTGCTCACACACACACTCTCTCTCTCAAAAATAAATTAAAAAAAAAAGTGATATAGCCCAGGCCACATGGAGAGGTCATGTACATAGGGGTGCCCTGGCTAAGAGCCCCAGCTTAGGTCCCAGCAACAGCCAGGATCCACGCCCACACATGTGCATGAACGAGTCTTCTCTGGTGATTCCAGCCTCCAGCTTTCAAGCCCACCATATGACACTGAATGGAGCAGAGACAAATGACTCTTCTGAGCTCTAATTAAATTGCAGATTCACGAGAAAAAAACAAATAAACAAATCTGTTGTATTAAGCCACCAAGTTTTGGGGTAGTTTGTTACACCACAATAAATAACCATGACAAATAGAGAACTTTCTTTACCAAATGCAAAACTTTTCCTCTGAATCACATAAAGGAGTTGGTTACATCTGTCCAGGATCCCAGTGTACTAATACGCACAAAACTCTGAAGGATGTGCACAGCCAGGCTCCCTGCAGAGGAAGTGACCCCAGGTGTTCTCCCCCGTATAACCTGTTATGGCTTTTGTAGCATGTGGTAGTAAACTACTTCTTTTCATTTAAAAAAAAAATTTTTTTTTAATGTTCATTTATTCTTGAGAAAGACAGAGACAATGCAAGTAGGTTAGGGGCAGAGAGAGAGGGAGACACAGAATCCAAAACAGGCTCCAGGCTCCGAGCTGTCAGCACAGAGCCCGACGCAGGGCTCAAACTCATAAGCAGTGAGATCATGACCTCAGCCGAAGTCGGACGCTCAACCGACTGAGCCACCCAGGCGCCCTGGTAGTAAACTACACCTGCTACTATGGCCACAGCAGCTGCCAGCGTGGCCCACTGACTAGACGTGGAGGCCAGTAGCAAGTCCATCCTGGATGGAGGCAGGGAATATCAACACCAGGTGAACCAAGAGAAAGCTGGTTACTAGGGCTCAGAGGGCTGGCAAAGAGTGCTGGGCTCCTTTCCTAGTGTCCATGAGGCCAACAGGATTCCTGGAAACACTGGCAGACTGTATGGCTCAAGGGACATCAGCGGCCACCCAAATCCTGCCAATCCTTACCAGGAACCCAAATTACACCAAAGGCAATTTGTATTCATCTCTTCTATGCCACCCTAAAAAGCCTACTACAAGTATTAGGGTCAATCTATTAAGGTCAATCTTTAGGTCAGTCTATTAAGTAAAGTTTGCCAAAGGTATTTTCAATTAATACACATTTGAACAGCAGTTTCTCATACAAATTATTTTAAAAATCATTTTCCTTGTTTATACTTAAATTTAAATAAATTAAATTTAATTTAAATAGGACTTTGCAAATAGAAAAGTAGAAATGATTTTTTCTTTTCACACTTATAAATAAATAGAATAATTAAAATGCAGTTTATGTGCATCTAATTTTGGTTTTTCATGGGGCCCTGATCAAATAACCTATTTAATTTTTTAAATATTACTCTAAAATTAAAATGCTTATTTTTTTACAAATGCATAACTATTCTGTCAAAAATATTAATCCTTGTTGAAGTAGAATTCCAGAACACATAAGCGTTTTTAGATAAATAAAAATTCAAATATCAGACATCATTTTTTTCCTAGCACAGCATGATTAAACACGGAATTAAAAGTGATTCTTGATAATGATAACAATAAATAAATAAAAGAGTCTGTATTCAGTGATTAATCATTTGCTTTAATTAGCTTTGGGAAGTACTAAAAAAACAAAAAACAAAAAAAATGGCCACATCATTTTCTATTGGAGCCACAACACTGATTTTTAAATTACCTCTAAAGGACACAGTAACATGTACTCTAAAAGTTATATCTATCACAGTTCTTTTTTTTTTAAGATTTTTTTTTATTTGTAAGTAATTTCTATACCTAATGTGGGGCTCGAACTTACAACCCCAAGGTGAAGAATCACATGCTTCACCAACGTAGCCAGCCAGGCGTACCTATACCTATCACAGTTCTGAAAAAGATGGTATTATGTCAAAATTATCTCAAAGAACCCTATCTTTTCACAAGGAAAAAAAAATGGTTACTCTGAGTTTGACCGATAAATGTTTGACCTTAGATTAAAAATCAAGTCTACCCTGGAAGGCACACAATTATTTCACAAGCATTTTAACTAACTTTCTGGCAAAACACAACAATCAAAATCCATTTTATATATATA